TTCGGATATCGTGTGACGTTTGAGCCAGTTGTCGGCCTACCTGCCTGCCTTCTTACGTGTTGCCGCTTTTGCTTCCTCAGCGGTATATGAACCGGTTACATGTGTGCCCCACATGTGTGCTCTACAATAAACGTACTGAATAATTGACTGCGCGCATATTTGCTAACTTAAACGGAACAAAACACAAAGACCTTAAAAATACTCGCACGGATAACAAAACAAACACTTTTAATGTTCACCTGAATATGTTGCGCTCAACCACCAAATCAACAGTACTAGCAACGCCGTGGGAATGAAATAATAACACGCTGTGGTGCGGTCCACTAGCCGTGTGAAATACAACCTCTAGATATTACTGGACAGTTCAAAAAGGAAATTTATCTGTTCACACCTGTGATCTACAGTGTGTCTCAATTTTGCACATTGAGTATTCCTTTTCTTTGGACACAGTTTTTGCATGATAAAGATATATTGGGAGGCTGAAAGTATTCGAACACCGCAGACGGTTTATTGTCAATATATGGACACAAAACGTTTTGAGACCTCAGTGATTTCTCGTTAGTATAATAAAATTAGCATACCCTATCGAAATCGGTGTCTCCAACATTTGAGCAGAATTGGAAAAAATAGGGCCGCTGTCTTGATCGTTATTTTACCAATTTATTTATGAAAATCGAGATGTAAAACATAAGCAAAACACTGTACAGCTATTTTGACCCTGTTGGGTCTCATCACTGGAGCGAATCCATCGACCAAAATTAAGATAGAACCTGGAACCTCACAGGAAGAACGCAAACATGATACGCACTTGGCCACCGGGTAGATCAGATCAGACCGTATTTTTTAAATTTCTCATTTACACAATATAGCACTACACATCTTGGCGAGCTTGTTGCGGCAATCGTGCCTGGCTCATCCCAGCACTAGCCTCCCGGGTTATGACTCGGTTGACAATTTTCACAACCTAACTACAGTTCAATGCTTCTAAGCTTTTTATTTCACGCTTCATTTGGTCTATGTACGACGAATTTCCTCCTTGAAAATAAATTAAATCTTCCATTAGTCTCATGGAAGTAGGAACATTTGTGACAAATTGAGCTCAGAGGAACGCCGCGGAGAATTTATCGTTTGCGGTTGGAATCGATCGCACAGTACCGGGTTCAGACCAGAAGCGGACTGCATCAATTTACGATACAAAAACATACTCACGTGTTGGTGCTTTTAGCAGAGGTACAAAACAAAACCAAAGTAGCAACAGTAAAGTTTGTCGGCTGTCGAAAGTGATACTCAGAACTAGTGAACATTGATAGGATTATCACATAAACCAAAAATATCAAATCACGATAAGTAGCATATGAATGACAGGACAAATTTCCCCAGAGGCACACGACCGGTTTCGCGGTCCTTGCCGCTCGTCAGCTATGCGTATCCGATAAGCTTCTGCCTTTTCATTCTTATGCGTGAAGTGCCAATGTGAATTGTATAATGCAGACCTAATTTACGGCTCAGGAAGTGTATTTGTGACGAACAAGGCTTGACGAATCATTGCATTGGTTCTGTATCAGAAGTTTCGGTTCAGATGCGTCTGACCTCAGTCAGCTCGACGCTACGGCTGATTTTTAGTGTTATTCCCAACCATTCATATACTACTCATGATAAAAACACTGAAAATTGACTATAGCGTCGACTTGACTGAGGTTAGATACATCTAACCCAAAACATTGCAATGATTCTTCGAGACCTATTCGTCTCAGGTGCACTCCCTGAGCTGCAAATTAGATTTGCATTGCACATCAGATTATTTTTTCCATAACATCTTCATTGTTTTTGTTTTGTTGTGGTTGTTATCATGATTCTGTGATAAGCTTCGCTGATTGTATTATACACACGTTTGAATGGGGTAAAAAAGGGATCCCGGGACATTGTGAGAACAATTGTTGTTTGCTGTTTTAGTTAGGTGTTTAACCCTCAATTCTTAGACAATCCCCTTACTGGTGTACCAATCATCTTTCCACAAGAAACCTTCGACGTCAGCAAGTATAATTTAAAATTCTTTGATTCTCTAAACTGGTCAGAATTTCATTCATTTTTTGATGTTACCGGAACGTTAGTCGATCTGTGTATCCTCTCCTTGCTTTATATCTTGTATATAGGGCACTATCCTTGTCGAATAATTCGCAAGGAAAGCGTTTAAAACCTTTAAAATTTCCAGTGGGTAACTCACGGGATCGGAGGCGATCTGCACCAAAATTGGGCTCATCTTTCTCTGTGAGCTTTCTCTGGTTTCTAGTTCGTTTTCACCTTCGCTTCCTTTGTTTGTGATTCAAATTTCACTGGTCAAAATAGGTCTCTATCTCTTTCAAGGTCCCCTATTTCGTGTGTGCTCCAATATTCCATGCGCTTCAACCTGTGCACGATAACTGATGACGAATTGAACCGGATTTTGACTTAGGGCATCTCTGTATCTACTTCAAGGTCATTTTGTATGGTGTGATCAAATGATCACTGCTACCCTTGTGTCACGTGATTTGGCTGGCGTTTAGTTTCTTCAAGATGATATTAGTATTGCATAAAGTTTTCGGAATAACAAATAAATTGGAAGTGACATTGGTGTGAATGTGTGCAAATCGGAATGCTTACTCGCTCTGTTCAGGTAATCCTCGGCTAGGCAACAAAGGTAGAGTTGAAATATTTCTGGACAGAATGCAAATCTTAGGGATTGAACGAATAATGAAACCATATGTAGTCCCTAAAATGGATGCTGTTTCTCGAAGTTTCACTGAACTCTGACCTTCGTAGCTTTTCTTCAGTCCACCCATGTATGAATACCCTCATTCAGAAGATCTGTGCCAACTTCTCTCGGTCCAAACAAAATAATATACCAGACCAAGAAATCATGGATTAGATTTTGCATTTAAGTCTGCAGATATAGTTGATGCACCGTAGGCTATGGTACCTTTTCCCAAATGCAGAGCATGACCGGTTCAGAAGCTAATGATTGGAACATCCATTAGACGACGGCATTTTCATGAACAGTTAGTTCCCAGTGCATTCCGTTGGGTAATATACCGTTTCGAACTACTAGTGGTACCAGCCATCGCGTTCTATTAAGCACCCAACAAAAGGACTGGAGTTGCGGTTGTCACACTTTCCTCACCTGACCTGGTCTATAACTAGGCCTGTCCACATAGAGCGAATGAGTTAATGTACCCATGAGCAAACAACACAGAAATGTTAACAAGGCATACTTCAAGGTGGCTTTGCATTCAGTGGAAAATTTGCATTAGGGCTAGTAGATTCCACTGGAGCAATCCACCCATATATACCTGAAACTGTGATCCGACACAAGAATTTAGTTGGTGTTTGATGAAAGGACCCTGTGTCTTGAGCCGTTGTTATCGACCCAACTGAGCTAACCGAAGAGTTGACTAACTGACTGACTGACTGACTGACTGACTGACTGACTGACTGACTGACTGACTGACTAA